TAAATTTGAAAAAATCATCCCGTTTATTCTCCTTAAACAGTTCATTAATCTTTTATTCAGCCTGAATACATTATGTTTTTGTGAGAAATATACAGAAATCTGTTTGCCACTTTATAAGTGGTAAAGACTATTCAAAGGATAGAAGAACAATTCATCCTTCAGGTTGATTTATGACATATTACTGATTAATGAACCCTAATATCATCTAACAAAGCCTAATGAGACTACACACAGGTCACTGTCCAGTCTAGAGCAAAGAGCAATTAACTTGTAATGACTTGGAATGACAATGTCACCTTATAGGTATCTTGTAGGAAAGGAATCTTATTGCCTGCTGTTTATGTTGGACCTACAAATGAAGGACATGTTGCTTTCTGAGTCTGTGCTCAAATTGATTGTTTGTTCTAGTGAGCTTTTTGCTGAATAATAAAGACCTTCCTCACAATTTGATTTTGTATGGTTTTGTATTGCTTCCTTGTAAGAAGACAAGGAAGCAATGTAAACTCACCACATCCCTGGAATAATCTGCAAAGAGAAAAACACCCAAGTTAGGCCATGCAGGATGTTTTCGGTACTGTAATCATGGCAAAGGCATTTCATTAAGAGCTTAAATAATTGCATTAATGTTAGAAAAAGTGTAAAAAAAAAAACCCTAGTAAAGTGACAGTTCTTATTAGACTTTATTTCATATTTAAATAGATTGGTTTCACGGTCTGCCTAAATGTAAAGCCTAAAAATGTTGATAACATGGGTAAAAGTGTATTTTTGTAACAGTGATAATTCCCAGATTCTGACCCAAAGCACCCTGAGTTCACCGACTCAATGTGTTGTTCAGGGTTTAATGAGTATTAAATGCTTCAGTTCTTTTCATCCATCTTTAACATATCAGTTTATGTAAATATTCAATATAATATACCCTCCATATTTTTTATGCATCAGCTTAAGGATGTCTATGCCTATTGCAGGCTCACCTAATGCCAGTCAGTGCATGAGGAAAAGTAAACGCAGACACATTATTTTACCTGTTTTTATAACCCCAATCATGTGCACGTACAAACATAAAAAGCTCTTGCAGGAGGAGGTGAGGATTGTTATTACTCAACACCGCACTTTCCCATCAGCACACGTCTTACTGGAGATGGATGAGGAGAAGTGTTGCTGCCAGGAAATAATTTACTACAGAACATGGGTCAGTGGATTCTGAACTCCTTTCTTCTGTTAAAGCCAACTAGAAGCTGTGACAGGACCATGCTGTGATAAGGAATCTCTAAAACCAGAAGCAAGACTTGGATCATTTAAAGATTGTTACTTTGTGCAACATGTTTCCTAAAAATTCAGGGCATAAATTTGCAGGAAAAGTTCATTTAAAAAGCGTTGTGGTAAATTCACTGCTTGGTGGTGGAGTAGGTTTAGTAGGTTTACAGTTAGTCAGATACTTAGGTGGAAGTATCCTATTATTTTTGAAATACTACAATACAGGGTTTTTTTTTAAACATAATAATAAATCATAACAATAACAAACTTTTACCCATAAACTGGTTGTGTGTTTTGGATTTTTATTTTAGCTGTTCGACTATTTTTCCATGGTTGGTTCTATTAGAACATGAAGAAATACACCTTTTATTTTTTTAAATATTTCTTAAAGGAATCGTTGTTTTGTTCTTTCTAGTAATACTACTTAATAAAACTGGCATTGTATTATAGTAGACTGCCTCATTAAATGATAATATGTGTCTGTTAAAAGACCAAATTTCTTATAGCCCAAAATGTCACAGTAATGCCTGCTAAAGGTCACTGATGGATGGGTGGGTGGATGGATGGATGGATGGATCCGTCCATCCATCGTCTATACCTGCTTGCGGGACCATATGTATTAATTTTAAATTAGAAGATAAATACTTACATAATATTCCTCAGATTTATTCTTTTACATCTATATCAACATCATGCTACAGAGCTGCTAAATCCATATTGATCCTCTTGAGAGGGGTTAAGGAGTACAGGGGAAAGATAAAACTAGTTTAAAAAAGGCAACTGTTAAGCTTTAGTGTAAATGTTGGTAAGATGGTCCGATAAGTTGTTACATCCAGCAAGAAAATAACTCTTTGTTTCTTCTGGAAACAATCACTATTTATTCTTGAGCTGAGTCGTTCTGCGGGTGGACATTAGCTCAACTAATTAGGAGTTTCCTTTTTAAGTCAAACAAAGCCAAGCACAAATGATAGGGATTTTTAAAGATAGTGTCAGTATTTAAAGGTGTCTCTAATTATGCCTGTTTATGCCAATCAGTTTCTGTTTTCACCTCTGCCCTTTATATACTCCTTTATTCTGTTTACATCTCGCTGGATTATATTGCTCTGTTCTGTTTTGCCTTGCTCAGTTTTGCTCTGTTCATGCCAAGCCTGTCCATGATCGTGTGTCTTTGCCCAGCCTAGCCAAGTTCCTATCCTGGTCATGTTCATACCTGCATCTCCTACCACCTACCTGCTTTTAAGTTTTTATTTTTATTAAACTTTTTTCACTCACCGTTTTCTGCTGCCTCCTTCCTGTCCGTACTTGGGTGGGTCCCCTTCAGAAACCACTTCCTGACAGATAGTTTGAAACAACTTTTATCGTTGATTAGCACTGTTTGCATATTTTACTCTAACAACAGTATGTTTGCGTTATTTTTGGATTTTAGATATTCCTATCTTGTGTCAAAGTCTTAGAAAAGGCTTCCAAGATTTTCAAATATTTTATGCTCCATATCAGATAGTAAACGTTGAAAAAATGAATCCAGGTGGTTTCATTAAACTTCCACAGCTCTAATCAATCAATGAATTAATACTTTATTAATCCCCTCAGAAGGGGAAATTAGATAGTCTGCTGCTATACAACAGAAAAAATATCTAAAAAAGGTGGTGCTTGACATGGGCAAAAGGAACCTCCTCATGTTCGCCCCCTTACTCGTAGTAGTTGCATCTAAATGTTTGAAGAAAGCACATAACCATTAGACAACTTGTATTTTCTCTTTTCAACAGTAAGATATCAGTAGTACAATTGTTCACAGGCATTGGCTTTCTGTTCAGACATTACCCTTAAAGTAATCTGTGAGATCTAAAAGGTATTTTTGATGGAAACATTTGTTTACATACAGTATATACAATTTATTATATTGATATATATTTCCTATGAAAGCAACACTTAAGCTTCTAGAAATTAATTTGTCAATATATGACCTCCAGCAACGTAAGACCCTAAAATCTAAATTGGTAGATGGACTGGGGGCCTCAGCCCGGTATCTGACTAATGATGTATCAAATCTGTCAAATCTCTAATAAAAAGGGGAAAATCATGGACTAAGGATCCAACAACAGTGTCCCTCGCAGAGCCATCATGGTGAGTTTGAGTTATTGTGAAACTATATTATTGGATCTGCTTGTTTGATCCTCTCAAACCGATGCTTGATCAGGAGTCAGTATCACTACATGAAAAGAGGGAATTAAAATATAGGAGATTCCCTTGTTTACAGGTTCTGTAACCCACCTTCAGCTGTGAAATTCTTGCTTAATGAAACTGATGGTGTTCGTTATAGGCGTTACTATTGGTAAAACTAATTCAAAAAATAAAAGTGCGAAAGGACAAATGAGAAAATCAAGTTACTACTGTCCTGTTAAACTGCTGGGAAATTATAAAAAGTCAACAGCCTCTGGTGCAATAAACCTACAGTAAAGCAATCATACAAAACAAAGAGATCAAAGCTACCTCACAGTGGGTAAATAAAGAATAAAGCCTTTCTTAAAGTAATAATTTTTCTATTTTGTTACAAGGAGAAGAAGATGAACAGAACAACGTTTTGACAGGGATTACATGATTACATGTCCTTAGTGATTAAGGATGTTTGTGTTGCGCTTGCGTGTAAGAACAAAAGCAGACACTTTGATAAATTGTCAGGGGCCCACTCTGTGAGACTGGCGGACCCTGATAGAATTTGGTCCTCTGCACCCAGAAACACACACACACACACACACACACACACACACACACACACACACACACACACACACACACACACACACACACACACACACAGGGTGAAGGTGTTGAGCTGCTCATAAAAAACAGGAACCCAATCCATCTTATGTCAGCAAGGTGTTTGACGTATAATTGCATTATGAAAAATATAGGCCCACACAGACGTTCCTGCCATGGGGTTGAGCTGGGTGACGTAGGGGGGCCAAGTCAAATAGGGTTGCATTTATAGGAGCGTCAAAAAGTTTCACCAGCACAGCACCTCACTGCTGTCTAAATTCTGCTGATCTATTCCTATGTGCTTTCAAAACGCCATAAAAACCTCTGGTGTCAAGCTATCTAAAAGCACCAAGAGATGTACTTTATCAACAAACCCAGCTTGTCAGATTGACTCCGTTATGATGGAATACGGCAATATGAGTCTCTGCATAAATGTGAGAATTTGCATTCATAACTCAAAGACTTTACTGTTCCCACCAGGCATTCATTAATCTTCTCGAAATAAACAAAGCACAGATTTACTCTGCAGAGATTGATGCCTTTCATGAGAACCATTACAGTCATGACATATACTACAGCTTACAATCTACTCATCTTACAAAACATCATTTACATGGCCCCATGAAAGCCTCAATGTCTTCAATGTCTAATCAGGGGACATGTCAGACTGTTGGGTATGAATATAAAAGCACATCCTGTGTTGTGAAAACTTTCATAGCACATGAAAGGCTCAAAAGCAGATGTTTCTAAAGTGAGTAGGAAGCACTATGCGGTTAATCACTAGCATTTGTTTTGTTTGTTCCCCACTAAGAGAAACGAAAGAAGTGAGTTTATCTGCAGGGAGAAAATTAATTAGGGACACAAACATTTTCATTTCAGACAAAAACATGCAGCTGTTTGGGTTGCTTTTTAAAGCTATGTTATTTAATTTAAATAATATTATCTCTCCTTTCCTGGGTTTATTTTAATTAGCAAAAAGATACTAGACTGTATTGTGGTGCAGTTGGTAGCACGTTGCACCAGCAGCAAGAAGGTCCTAGGTTTAAATCCTGGCCTGTGGTACTCCGGCTCCCTCCCACAGTCCAAAAACATGACTGTTAGATTAATTGGTCTCTTTAAACTCATACCCTTGGTATGAGTGTGTGTGTGCATTGCTGTTTGTTGTGTGTCCTTGTGTTGCCCTGTGATGGACTTGCGACCTGTCCAGAGTGTACCCTGCCTGCCACCCAATGACCACTGGAGATAGGCAACCTCCCTCCAAGCGGGTATAGACAACGGACGGAAACTATGCCCTGTTGACATCAACATGGAGATGGTGCAAAATGAGTTTTTATGATGGATTTTCACCTTTTATCAACGTGCAAACAACATTTTTTCTGGTGAGTGAACAAATGATTATGAAACGTTTTTGGTGTACCTGCTTGGACCTGGCAAACAACAAAGTTTTTCAAAAACTATGACATACCAGCTGTCGTACATGTATACTAATGATTTCTGTGCTAACAATAATAACATCTGTGTCAACTTTTCTATTGAGATTCAGCTTAACACGTTAATGAGGAGATGTAAACAGCTTCAATGAACAAGCAACAGTTGTTTGGTTGAAATAGTTCTTCCTTCGTGTTTTGATGTCAGTAATGTCAACGTTATTGTGTTGGAATTATGATTATTGATTAATTAATATCTATCAAGAATTATAATTAACAATCATAATTTGACAAAATTAATTTCTTAACCAAAATCCTCATTTATGAATCGAGACCAGAGATGTCTTCTGGTGTTGTAACTGTGGCTCAACGCCTTTGATAATTACAACTGTTAAATACTCAGTA